CATGGTCTAGAGCAGGGGTCCTCAAACTAAGGCCTGGGGGCCAGATATGGCCCTCCAAGGTCATTTACCCGGCCCTTGCTCATGGTCAAACTAAGTCTGAAACGACTTGAGAGCACACAACAATCCTATCTCATCAGCCAAAAGCAGGCCCACACTTCCCACTGAAATACTAATAATAAGTTTATATTTGTTAAAATTGTTCTTCATTTTAATTATTGCAGTAATTCTCAACCTGGGGGTCGGGACCCCTGGAGGGGTCGCGAGGGGGTGTCAGAGGGGTCGGCAAAGACCATCACAGACAGTATTTTCTGTTGGTCATTCTCTGTTTCTGGCCTAATTCTATTGTTGGTGGGCTTCTCAATGCTCTTTGGTTGTAGGTGAACTATAAATCCCAGCAACTACAACTTCCAAATGTCAAGGTCTATTTTCCTCAAACTTGACCAGTGTTCACATTTGGGTATATTGCATATTCGTGCCAAGTTTGATCCAGATCCATAATTGTTTGAATCCACAGTGCTCTCTGGGTGTAGGCAAACTACAACTCCCAAACTCAAGGTCAATGCCCACCAAACCCTTCCAGTGTTTTCTGTTGGTCATGGGAGTTCTGTGTGGCAAATTAGGTTCAAATCCATTGCTGGTGGAGTTCAGAATGCTCTTTGATTGCAGGTTAACTATAAATCCCAGCAACTATAACTCCCAAATGACAAAATCAATCCCCTCCGTCAATCCCACCAGTATTCAAATTTGGACGTATCGGGTATTTATGCCAAATTTTGTCTGGTGAATGAAAATACATCCTGTATATCAGATATTTACATTATGATTCATAACAGTAGCAAACTTACATTTATGAAGTAGCAACGAAAATAATTTTATGTTTGGGGGTCACCACAACATGAGAAACTGTATTAAGGGGTCGCGGCATTAAGAAGGTTGAGAACCACTGGTCTAGAGGCATTCTCTCCTGACGTTTTGCCTGCATCTATGGCAAGCATCCTCAGAGGTAGTGAGGTCTGTTGGAACTAGGAAAGTGGGTTTATATATCTGTGGAGTAACCAGGGTGGGACAAAGTTATGAATCTTGTCTGCTGGAGCTAGGTGTGAATGTTTCAGCTGACCACCTTGATTAGCATATAATGGCCTGACAGTGCCTGGAGCAATCTTTTGTTGAGAGGTGATTAGATGTTTCTGATTGTTTCCTCTCTGTTGTTGTGCTGTTGTAATTTTAGAGTTTTTTTTTAAATACTGGTAGCCAGGTATTAAAGCAGAGTAAAGCAGAGTAAAATAGTAAATAACCTTTACTCAAGTATAAGCCGAGGCAAATTTTTTCAGCCTAAAAGGAAGGCTGAAAAATTAGGCTTATACTCGAGTATATACAGTATTTATTTATTGTGTCAGAAGCAAATTGAGGGTACAGTTGTAACGTATTTAAAAAACACAAAGTTTATAAACTTGGTATGATATTAAATCTTTGACCAGAAGCTGACCACTTGGGATGCCCCTGATGGGGCCGCAAGAAGGTCCTCCCTTGTGCATGTGGTGGGACTCAGGTTGCATTGTAGTCCAGTGTTTCGCAACCTGGGGGTCGGAACCCCTGGAGGGGTCGCCAGGGGGTGTCAGAGGGGTCGCCAAAGACCATCACAAAAGCACAGTATTTTCTGTTGGTCATGGGGGTTCTGTGTGGGAAGTTTGGCCCAATTCTATCATTGATGGGGTTCAGAATGCTTTTTGATTGTAGGTTTACTATAAATCCCAGCAACTACAACTCCCAAATGTCAAGGCCTATTTCCCCCAAACTCCACCAGTGTTCACATTTAACATACTGAGTATTTGTGCCAAGTTTGGTCCAGATCCATCATTGTTTGAGTCCATAGTGCTCTCTTTCGGTGTACTACAACTCCCAAACTCAAGGTGAATGCCCACCAAACCCTTCCAGGGTTTTCTGTTGGTCGTGGGCATTCTTTGTGCCAAGTTTGGTTCAATTCCATCGTTGGTGGAGTTCAGAATACTCTTCAATTGTAGGTGAACCATACATCCCAACAACTACAACTCCCAAATTATGTTTCATAACAGGAGCAAACTTACAGTTATGAAGTAGCAAAAGAATGTTATGGTTGGGGGTCACCACAACATGAGGAACTGTATTAAGGGGTCGCGGGATTAGGAAGGTTGAGAAACACTGTTGTAGTCAGTGGCCTGTAGTTTGCTCTCCTCCACACTCCCATGTCATGGACTCCACTTTGTGGCCCCATTTCTTAAGGTTGGCTCTGCATCTCGTGGTGCTAGAGCACCTTCCAAGTCGCTCCATCTTCTGTGTACCCAGGAGGGAGTCTCTCATTTGGTATTTGGTGCATCAGTTGGAGAAGCTTGGTTCTAGGTCAAGTATGTGCAAACTTTGGCTTTCCAGGTCCTCTGAACTTCAACTCCCACAATTCCTAAGAGCCTGATCTAGGTGTTGGGATCTAGGTGTTGGGAGCTGCTTTGTTGCAATCTGTGCTTCTTTAAAATCCTATATCCCTTTCTAGGCCAGGGATGGATTTCACGCTCTTCTTCTTTTTCTTTCTTCTCGCGCAGACTTTCACCACTCAAGAGACCATCACCAACGCGGAGACGGCCAAGGAGTGGTTCCTGAAGGCGGCGAAAGATGTAAGTCGAAGCGTATTTGAGGGATTCAGTGCGGACTTGCTCAGGAACCTCCAGCATCCTTAGCCTTTTAAAAAAATAATCTTTATTAAAATGTTCATTACAAGGAAAGTAGGATAACATTATGATTATAGAAAAGTAGGAAAGGAGAGGATAGAACTAGATATTTATTAAAATTGAGGAAAGGAAAAAGAAAAAGAGAAAAAAAAACCCTGTAAAAACTATAAGAAACTTTAGAGTCTATGTGTGTGTATGTATGTATGTGTATATATTAGGGCTGGGCAACCACAGAAAAATTTGTTTCTAAACTCGATTCGTTTTTAGGGGGTTTTTGCGTTTCGATTTTTAAAAGAATTCCGAAATTTTCCTTAATTTTTTTTCGATATTTACGAAATTTTGTAAATTACGAATCAATTACGAATCGATTTCGAAACAATTACGAATCGATTCGTTAATGGCGGGCGCGATCGCGCAATACGCTAAAAAAACCTCCAAATGGGACAGGAAGCTTCCCTCTCCCTCTGTTGTTGACTGTTGGTGTGATAATTTATTTATTTTTCACTGAGAAAACAAACAGCAACCCTAAAACTTGCACCAGACATGCGGAAATAATAACGAAACGATTTCGAATAAATTACGAATCGATTTCGAAACAATTACGAAACAATTACGAAACGAATTGAAAAAAATCGTTTCGTTTTTTAGTTGCTCCTGAATGGTTCAATATCGCTTCGTTATCAAAAGAAAAAAAAAAAAACGAATTAATAACGAATTACGAAATTAACGAACGAAATCGCCCAGCCCTAGTATATATATATATATATATATATATATATATATATATATATATAGGAACAAAAATATATTAATATATACATAATTTCAACTTCCAATCTTATTTTTTGCAGTTAAATATATGTATTGTCGAAGGCTTTCATGGCCGGAATCACTGGGTTGTTGTAGGTTTTTTCGGGCTGTATGGCCATGTTCTAGAGGCATTCTCTCCTGACGTTCCTGCATCTATGGCAAGCATCCTCAGAGGTAGTGAGGTCTGTTGGAACTAGGCAAAAGGGTTTATATATCTGTCGAATGACCAGGGTGAGACAAAGGCTGGTCATTCCACAGATATATAAACCCACATTCCTAGTTCCAACAGACCTCACTACCTCTGAGGATGCTTGCCATAGATGCAGGCGAAACGTCAGGAGAGAATGCCTCTAGACCAGTGATGGACAACCTTTTGAGCGTCGTGTGTAAAAATTCGCCAAAAAACCGAGCATAATTCAGGTGGTGTGTCATTTCAAGAAAAAACCATAATTTCGCAATATTTAGTTTAAATAACAAAAAATATATAATTGTAATTCCCACTTTCTCTCTTATCATGTTGCTCTACCTCTCTTTATGTAAATAATATCCTTTTTGGAGTGTTTAATAAAAACATAATTTTAAAAACCCAACAAAATATTATTTATTTTTAATTTAATTTAAATGTATTTTTAGCATTTAATATGCTGTTTAATGTATTTCTAATAATAATAATGCAATAATAATAAAGTAAGATTGCAAAATAATATTTTAATATTTAATTTACCATTTCATTTAAGGTATATATATATATATATATATATATATATATATATATATATATTAAGGCATATATTAAAAATATTTAAAATGCATTAAATTAAATGTCAAATTAAAATTCAATTTACCATTCTGAAATATTTGAGTAATATAGCAAAGTAATATTATTTATCATTTAATTTAATTTAAATATGTAACTCCTTAATATTTAGGAAACAATGCAAAATAATATTTGTTTACTTAATAATTAAATAAACCAATATTATTTTGCAATGTTACCTAAATATTAATAATAATTAAATATTTTTGCAATGTTTCCTAAATATTAAGGAGTTACATAGTTAAGTAGAAATGGCTACGCGTGTCAGTAGAAATGGCTACGCGTGTCAGTACTGACACGCGTGTCATAGGTTCGCCATCACGGCTCTAAACCATGGCCATACAGCCTGAAAAAACCTACAACAACCCAGTTAAATATATTATTGTCCAATCTCTCCTTTTGTGGAGAAAATTATCCATCCTTAGCCTTAGCTGTTGCTGGGCTCGCAGTACAACATCTTCTCTAAAGCAGCCGTTTGCGACTTCCAAACTTGCAGAACACCTGACCATTGGCGCGCGGACTGAGGTTTACAAAGTCTGAAAGCAGCTTCAGGAACAAAACTTGAGAGCTACTGACCTGAAGGAAGTCACAATCCCTGCAATGTGTGTGTCACGCTTGAACTACAATTGAAATTTATATAATGCCCAATGCAGACTGTTAGGGAAATATGAAAGGAAGCCACAGGGAGGAGGGAGCAAGCTTGTTTTCTGCTTCCCTGGAGACTAGGACGCGGAACAATGGCTTCAAACTACAAGAGAGGAGATTCTATCTGAACATGAGGAAGAACTTCCTGACTGTGAGAGCCGTTCAGCAGTGGAACTCTCTGCCCCGGAGTGTGGTGGAGGCTCCTTCTTTGGAAGCTTTTAAACAGAGGCTGGATGGCCATCTGTCGGGTGATTTGAATGCAATATTCCTGCTTCTTGGCAGAATGGGGTTGGACTGGATGGCCCAGGAGGTCTCTTCCAACTCTAGGATTCTATGATTCTATATAAGCAGAGCATCCAAAAACAAACAGGATACTAAAGTTGGGCATCAGCTCATTAGCGAGCAGAGCGTGGAGTGCCATGTGATGTGTTTTTCTTACGTTTATATGAATTGTATTGTATTGATTGTTTTATTTGATGTTTTGTTTATTGTATTGTCGAAGGCTTAGGAGAGAATGCCTCTAGACCAGGGGTCCTCAAACTAAGGCCTGGGGGCCGGATACGGCCCTCCAAGCTCATTTACCCAGCCCTCGCTCAGGGTCAAACTCAGTCTGAAACAATGAAAGCACACAACAACAACAACAACAACAACAACAATCCTGTCTCATCAGCCAAAAGCAGGCCCAGACTTCCCATTGAAATACTAATAAGTTTATATTTGTTAAAATTGTTGTTCATTTTAATTATTGTATTGTGTTTTTAAGTGTTTTTTGCATTACAAACAAGATATGTGCAGTGTGCATAGGAATTCATTCATGTTTATTTCAAATTATAATCCGGCCCTCCAACAGTTTGAGGGACTGTGACCTGGCCCTCTGTTTAAAAAGTTTGAGGATCCCTGTCTTAGGTTATCCAATTTTATTGCTTTGTATTATTTGTTGTTATTGCTTTATTATTGATGTATTGTGGGCTCGGCCTCATGTAAGCCACACCGAGTCCCTTGGGAGATGGTAGCGGGGTATAAATAAAGATTATTATTATTATTATTATTATGATTATTATTATTATGCCTATTGCTTAAACAATGAGCTAGGTTGACAGTTGGCAGCTCACGCCAACCTGGGGCTTCGAACTTGTAACCTTTTGGTTGATAGATCTTTTATTATTATTATTATTAAACTTTATTTGTACCCCTCTAGCATCTCCCGAAGGATTCGATGCGGCTTACACAGGCCGAGGCCTCAACACACAACACAACAATACAATCTAAGCAAATCAAACAATTAAAAACAGAATAAAGCAAAATAAACAACAGGCACAATACAGTAAACACAATAAAACTGGGCCGGGCCAGAGCAATGGGTACAAGATTAAAAGTGCTGATGTGACAGGAGGTGTATATAGGGCTTCCAGGGCAAGTGCGATGTGCGATGTGCAGCAATCATTGGTTCTGATAAAGTGCTTATGGGACTTGGTGGTGGAGATTTCCTAATCTGGGAAGATGCATCGGAAAAGCCAGGTCTTCAAGTTCTTTCTGAAGACAGCCAATGTAGGGGCCTGTCTAAGGTCTTTGGGGAGGGTGTTCCAGAGTCGGGGGGCCACCACGGAAAAGGCCCTGTCTTGTATCCCCACCAAGCGCGCTTGCGACGCCGATGGGATCACGAGCAGGGCCTCTCCAGATGACCGAAGAGAACGCGTGGGTTTGTAGATGGAGATGCGGTCACGCAGGTAGGCTGGTCCCAAACCGTTCAGGGCTTTGTAGGTAAGCACCTGCACCTTAAATTGGGCTCGGAAAATAAACGGCAGCCAGTGGAGCTCCTTGAACAGGAGGGTTGACCTCTCTCTGTAAGGGGCCCCGTTAGCATCCTGGCTGCTGCTCGTTGGACCAGTTGGAGCTTCCGAGCCGTCTTCAAGGGCAGCCCCACGTAGAGCGCATTGCAGTAATCCAATCTGGAGGTGACCAAGGCATGGACCACTCCGGCCAGATCCGCCTTCGCGAGGTACGGTCGCAGTTGGCGCACGAATCTCAGTTGTGCGAAAGCCCTCCCAGACACCGCCGATGCCTGAGCCTCAAGCGTGAGCCAAGAGGACTCCCAAACTACGGACCTGTGGCTTCAGGGGGAGTGTAACCCCGTCCAACACAGGTTGCCACCCTATACCCCGGTCCGGTTTGCGATCGACCAGGAGGACCTCTGTCTTGTCGGGATTGATCTTCAGCTTGTTCCTCCTCATCCAGATAGACACAGCGGCCAGGCACTCGTCCAGCACCCGAGAGGCCTCCTTGGAATTAGGTGGAAAGGAGTAGTAGAGCTGTGTGTCATCTGCATAGAGGTGGCACCTAACTCCAAAACTCCGGATGACCTGTCCCAGCAGTTTCATGTAGATGTTAAGAAGCATGGGAGACAGAATTGAGCCTTGCGGGACCCCACAGGTCAAAGGCCAGGGGTCCGAGCAGGCGTCTCCCAGCTTCATCATCTGGGATCGACCCTCCAGGAAGGACCGGAGCCACGACAGAACCATGCCCCTGAGACCCATCCCAGAGAGTCATCCCAGAAGAATACCATGATCGATGGTATCGAAAGCCGCTGAGATGTCCAAGATGTCTTATAATTTCTTATAATTATAAGATATTATAATTTCTGGTGATTTACCAGCTGTGCTAAACCTCCAGCCTACCTATTCATAGTTCAGGCATGTGCCTTTGCAAAGGCCAGCCCCGTCTCAAGTGCAACCCGGTTTCAGGCTGCAAAGAAGCTGCCAAGATTCAAAGCAGCGCCGTTTTTTGCAACCTGAGTTTTAGTTTGTAGTTCAGACTTAGGCTTCTGAGGGAAGTCATGGTTGATGTTGGAAGGTTTTTGTTTGGGATGATCAGTCGCGTGCTCAGCAAGCCTTTATTTACTTTGGGCTTGGGGGTCGTCTTCTGCCTTGGAGCGCTCTCCTGCTGCAAGGAAACCGGAGCTCGAAACGGCGCTGCTTTGAATCTTGGCAGCTTCTTTGCAGCCTGAAACCGGGTTGCACTTGAGACGGGGCTGGCCTTTGGAAAGGCAGATGCCTGGACTATGAATAGGAAGGTGCCCTTCTGAGGAATGCCCTGCTCACGCTTTTTGAAAGGACACCTCTCTCTCTCTTGGATGCTTTTGCAAGTGGGGTCCCCTTAGTCCAACGGCACGACCCTGGAAACACTGGCAACAGGAAAAGGTTTCTTAACCTTACTCATGTTGGGAGAGATCATCCGGAGTTTTGGGGTACGGTGTCGTTTGTACGCAGATGATGTCCAACTCTGTCACTCCTTTCCACCCGCTACTAAGGAGGCTGTCGAGGTCCTAAACCGGTGCTTGGCCGCTGTATCGGACTGGATGAGGGCTAACAAATTGAGATTGAATCCAGACAAGACAGAGGCACTCCTGGTCAGTTGAAAGGCCGAACAGGGCATAGGGTTACAGCCTGTGCTGGACGGGGTGACACTCCCCCTGAAGGCGCAGGTTCGCAGTCTGGGAGTGATCCTGGACTCATCGCTGAGCCTGGAACCCCAGGTCTCAGCGGTGGTCAGGGGAGCTTTTGCACAACTAAAACTTGTGCGCCAGCTGCGCCTGTACCTTGGGAAGTCTGACTTGGCCACGATGGTCCACGCTTTGGTTACATCCCGTTTAGACTACTGCAACGCTCTCTACGTGGGGTTGCCTCTGAAGACTGTCCGGAAGCTGCAGCTAGTCCAACGCTTGGCAGCCAGACTACTAACGGGTGCTGGGTACAGGGAGCACGCCACTCCGCGGTTACACCAGCTCCACTGGCTGCCGATTAGCTTCCGAGCACAATTCAAAGTGCTGGTGTTAATCTACAAAGCCCTAAACGACTCCGGCCCTGTTTACCTCTCCGAACGTATTCTCCCCTATGAACCATCAAGATTATTAAGATCGTCTGGAGAGGCCCTGCTCTCGGTCCCACCGGCCTCTCAGGCGTGTCTGGTGGGGACGAAGGACAGGGCCTTCTCGGTGGTGGCCCCTCGACTCTGGAACTCTCTCCCACTGGAGATCAGAACCGCCCCTTCTATCCTGACATTCAGGAAACAGGTGAAGACCTGGTTATGGAGACAGGCATTCGATGAGTGAGCCAACACCCTGAGATATGGATGGAAGATGATGTACAATCGATTTTAGTATGACGACTGACCATTGTAGTTATTGAATATATTTGCTGTTTTAATGTGTTATTGTAATATGAATTATGTTGTTTTACTGACTGTATGTGATTTTATGGTTGGAAACCGGTCTGAGTCCCTCAAGAGAGGTGAGAAGGTCGGTATATAAAACTTTTAAATAAATAAATAATAAATAAAATTTATGCAATAATATCCAATGCTTGCAGAGGACTCTGCAGAAGATGCTTCGACTGTACTCCCCCCAAAAGGAAAGTCAGCCTTGCAAAGCCTGGTTTGTTGCACTGTGTAACAAAATTTGAAAAACGTTCTGTTCCTGGTCCGCAATTTCCTATTTAATTGTGCAGCCCTTCCTTTGAAAGCTGTTGTTCTCCTCCAGAAACTTCATTTTGGTGGCTGTCACAAACTAGGTTGAATGGGTTGAGACTCGATGATCATATATACCATTGCAAAACTATTGCAAAGGTGCTGCCCTTGGTTCTTGTGGAAGGGTCATCCTGCAGGAACATTTTGTGATAGTTTTTCTTTTATATATATATATATATATATATAGAGAGAGAGAGAGAGAGAGAGAGAGAGAGAGAGCATTTTAATATTTACAACAACAACGACAAGACTGAGCAAGTGCGGGTAGCACAAACCTTAACACCGATACATACATCCAAACATGACAACACATTCAAACCCAACATCAAAAACGTGACATCATCACCACCATCCCCCCTTTTCAATGTACGAGGGTTGAATGAAAAATAATGCCTCCTCTTTCGTTACTTGGGTTTGGATGGGAATATTTTAATAAATCAAACCCAGAAATCATCCTTAGGGTGTGCTTTTTAACGACCACTATTCACTTTCCCACATAATTATCAGACAATTCTGCCAGAAGGGACAGAGAGTTTCATCTATGCTGATGATCGTGCCATTACTGCTCAAGCAGGGAGCTTTGAGATGGTAGAACAGAAGCTTTCCAAAGCTCTAGGTGCTCTTACTGCCTATTACAGGGAAAACCAGCTGATCCCTAACTCCATCTAAAACACAGACATGTGCCTTTCACCTCAAGAACAGAGAAGCATCCCGAGCTCTGAGGATTACCTGGGAAGGAATCCCACTGGAGCATTGCAGCGCACCCAAATACCTGGGAGTCACTCTGGACCGTGCTCTTACCTACAAGAAGCACTGCCTGAACATCAAGCAAAAAGTGGGTGCTAGAAACAATATCATACGAAAACTGACTGGCACAACCTGGGGATCACAACCAGACACAGTGAAGACATCTGCCCTTGCGCTATGCTACTCTGCTGCTGAGTATGCATGCCCAGTGTGGAACACATCTCACCACACTAAAACAGTGGATGTGGCTCTTAATAAGACATGCCGCATTATCACGGGGTGTCTGCGCCCTACACCACTGGAGAAATTACACTGCTTAGCCGGTATTGCACCACCTGACATCCGCCGGGAAGTAGCAGCCAATAGTGAAAGGACCAAGGCAGAGACATCTCCAGCTCATCCCCTGTTTGGGTATCAGCCAGCACGTCAACGACTTAAATCAAGAAATAGTTTTCTTAGATCTACAGAGACACTCGCTGGAACACCCCAGCAAGCGAGAGTCCAAAAGTGGCAGGCCCAAACCCAGCACCTCAATTCATGGGTGATACCAGATGAGAGACTCCCCACTGGGCACTCAGAAGACTGGGCGACTTGGAAGGCGCTGAACAGACTGCGCTCTGGCACCACGAGATGCAGAGCCAATCTTAAGAAATGGGGCTACAGGGTGGAATCCTCGGCATGCGAGTGCGGAGAAGAACAAACCACTGACCACCTGCTGCAATGCACCCTGAGCCCTGCCACATGCACAAGGGAGGACCTTCTTGCGGCAACCCCAGAGGCACTCCAAGTGGCCAGATACTGGTCAAAGGACATTTAACCAAATACCAAATTTACAAAATCTGTGTGGTTTTTTTTTCTTTTTCTTTTTTTTAATCTCTGTGTTTGTTTTGCTCTGTTAGAATTGTAATACAATGGTTGCTGATGACACGATAAATAAATAAATATCAGACAATTGGATACATTTCTGCCAACGATGAATGAGTTTTCTGAAGCCGTCACGGAGTTTTCTGAAGTCGACACTCTATTTGCACAACCAGTGTCTCACAGTTCTCTCAACATCTTCATCAGAAGCATCCTGATGTCTCCGCAGATCTTCTTTCATTATCGGGAACAGATGGAAGTCAGACGGTGCTAAATCTGGACTGAATGGAGAATGTCGTACAGTGGTGAGATCCAGTCTCTGAAGTTTCACGTCTGTGCGCTTTCATTTCAGGCGTCCGTATCCTGGGTACCCATCATGCACAGATTTTCTGATAGCCAAGCAAAGCAATAATGTGACCCACAAGTTCTTTTGAAATGCGGATTTTGCTTGAAATGTCTCTGAATGATACGACGATTGTCCTGAATCAGTCTGTCAACCTTTTGGCTTCCCACCAAAATGGAACTGTAGAGGAGAGTCGACTGAACAAGCCAGTACCTGCCGCATACCAGTACTGCCATCTGTTGAGGAGTTCTGAATATGGAGGCATTACTTTTCAGTCAACACTTGTATTTAATTCTGTTTTTATATTCCTAGATTTTCAGATTGTATTGAGTTTCCTTTGTGGAGAGAAAAAGCGATGAATCAATAGAGAATAATAATAATAATAATAATAATAATAATATTAATTTAATAATAATAATAATAATAATAATAATAATAATAATAATAAAAATAATAATATAGTTCACAAATAAGAATTGCACCTGGTGCTTCTTCTCCTGGAAGTGGTTGCTCTTTTGTCTAACGTCCTTCTTCTCTTCCCAATCTCTAGCCTGCTGCCGTGGCCAAGCATTTCGTGGCTCTTTCTACCAATGGGGTAAGTGGCTGAGAAAAAGGGGGAAATGCTCAAGGGATGCATGACTTGGCCATGACTGCGATTAAGTTGTGACCTAATTCTTGTTATTTTTCCTCCCTTTGTCACTTTAGCCTAAAGTGAAAGATTTTGGGATCGACACTCAGAACATGTTCGAGTTTTGGGACGTAAGTAAGGCACCATGCACGAGACTAGGCTTCCCTCCCGCATGAGGGCAATGTTTTTCTCTCTCTTCCTTTGGAAAGAAAAGGGGACGGGGAATCTTTTGGACCCCCAACTTCTCCAATTCCTCCAACTCCAAAGCCTATTCCTTTTTTTGAATTATTACCATCTGGCAGGCGGCACAGGGTGACAAAGGAAAGGACGGACAGACTGAGAGGCAGCTTTTATCCTACGTTGAACTCCATGACTTTGCATTGATGTGGCATTGGGGACTGTGCAGTTGTGGTGGGAGTGTGAAGGGATGGGAGTGTTGTATTGTGTGCACTCAGGAAAGCATTTACTGTATATACTCGAGTATAAGCCTAGTTTTTCAAGCTGAAAAAGCCCCCCTCGGCTTATGCTCGAGTCAAGGTGATTTATTATTTTGCTCTGTCATTGCTATTATTTTTATTACATTTATTATTTTACTCTATTTATTGTTCTTCTTCTTATTATTATTATTATTTTACTTTATTATTATTACATTTATTATTTTATTTTATAATTCTTATTACATTTATTAATGTACTATGCTATTATTACATTTATTATTTCACTCTATTGTTATTATTATATTTATTATTTTACTGTCTTTATTATTATTGGAAGGATACATAAGTGGTTCGGCTTATATTTGGGTCGGCTTATACTCGAGGATATACGGTAATGCTTTCAATGAGTCTCACTGCATACACCAGTCTCGATACTTGGGTCAAGTTCGAACTCCTGCAGAGTCCTTATTATTATTATTATTATTATTATTATTATTATTATTATTATTTGCACTGTCTTCTGTACTGTTGCAAGTTTCCAAAAGAAGAAATAATAATAATAATAAGCATTATTATTCCCAAATGAAGAAATGTGAATAATAATAATAGTTATTATTATTATTATTATTATTATTATTATTATTATTATTATTTGCACTGTGTTCTGTACTGTTGCAAGTTTCCAAAAGAAGAAATAATAATAATAATAATCATTATTTTTCCCAAAGGAAGAAATACTAATAATAACAACAACAATAAGAAGAAGCATTATTCCCAAAGAAAGAAATGTGAATACTATTACTACTACTAATAATTATTATTATTTGCACTGTGTTCTCTACTGTTGTAAGTTTCCAAAAGAAGAAATGCTAATAATGCTAATAATAATAATAATAATAATAATAAGCATTATTGTTCCCAAAGGAAGAAATACTAATAACAATAATGATAATAAGCATTATTTTCAAAGGAAGAAATGTAAATAATAATAGTAGTAGTATTAGTAACTATTATTATTATTATTACTATTATTATTTGCACTGTGTTCTCTACTGTTGCAAGTTTCCAAAAGAAGAAATAATAATAATAATAATAATAATAATAAGCATTATTTTTCCCAAAGGAAGAAATACTAATAATAACAACAACAATAAGAAGAAGCATTATTCCCAAAGAAAGAAATGTGAATACTATTACTATTAATTATTATTATTATTATTTGCACTGTGTTCTCTACTGTTGCAAGTTTCCAAAAGAAGAAATGCTAATGCTAATAATAATAATAATATTAATAATAATAAGCATTATTGTTCCCAAAGGAAGAAATACTAACAATAATAATAATAATAATAATAATAATAAGCATTATTCCCAAAGGAAGGAATGTTAATACTAATTATTATTATTATTATTATTATTATTATTATTATTATTATTATTATTATTATTATTTACAGTGTTCTCTACTTTTGCTAGTTTCCAAAAGAAGAAATAATGCTAATAATAATAATAATAATAATAATAATAATAATAAGCATTATTGGTCCCAAAGGAAGAAATACTAATAATAACAACAATAATAAGAAGCATTATTCCCAAAGGAAGAAATGTGAATAATAACAATAGTAATTATTATTATTAATATTATTATTATTATTACTATTATAATTTGCAGTGTGTTCTGTACTGTAACCAAAAAGAAGAAGTAATAATAATAAGAAGCATTATTGTTCCCAAAGGAAGAAATACTAATAATAACAATAAGAAGCATTATTCCCAAAGGAAGAAATGTGAATAATAATAGTAATTATTATTATTATTATTATTATTATTATTATTATTATTATTATTTGCACTGTGTTCTGTATTGTTGCAAGTTTCCAAAAGAAGAAATGCTAATAATAATAATAATAATAATAATAATAATAATAAGCATTATTGTGCTTATTATTATTATTATTATTATTATTATTATTATTATTATTATTATTAGAGGTCCCCTGTCTGGTGTTGAGTTCCAGGAAAGGTCGAGTTCAGGGATGCGTCGGCCTCTGTTTGGGCATCTGCTGTTAAGGCTATTTATTCCCGGCGGTGACATTTGCCCGGCGGCAGGAGAGGCCCAGGTAGGACATGGCACAGATTGAAGGTGGTCAGTAAAGGACAAGGGTCACCTCTGGCAAGAGCCCACCCTTGGCCTTTACTGACCTTCTTCAATCTAGGCCATGATCTACCTTTTGTGCGGTTGAACTTTTGGTCTGGAGATGGAGTTTCTTGGAGATCATGATCCAGGCTTGCATGCCGGGCTACTGAGCTACAGAACTTGCTGACCGGAAGGTCGGCTGTTCAAATACGCGGGACAGGGTGAGCTCCCGCTGTTAGCCCCAGCTTCTGCCAATGTAGGAGTTCGAACATTTATGTATTTATTTATTTGCCATATTTATATAGCGCCGAAGGCAACTCAAGGCGGTTTACAATCGGCACAATTCGATGCCCCCAACAACATAAAATACAATTTAAAACATTTAGCATATGATATACAAAACCAACAAAAACATAAATCCTCAGCATCACTTTACTAAAATCATTTTTCCAGTCGCATCGTCCATGCAAGTGTGAGTAGATCAATAGGTACCGCTTCTTTCATCTCCGTTTCTATATCATCCCGGTGGCACAGTGGGTTAAACCGCTGAGCTGCTGAACTTGCTGACGAAAAGATTGGCGGTTCAAATCCAGGGAGCGGGGTGAGTTCTCACTGTCAGCCCCAGCTTCTGCCAACCTAGTAGTTTGAAAACATGCAAGTGTGAGTAGATCAATAGGTACGGCTTCTGCAGGAAGGTAACAATACTCCATGCAGTCATGACAGTGGCCACATGACCTTGGAGGTGTCTATGGACAACGCCGGCTCTTCGGCTTAGAAACGGAGATGAGTACCAACCTCTAAAGAGTTGAACTTGACTAGTCAAGGGGAAACCTTTACTATATTCTATTACATTAGCTTGGGTACACGGTGTTGCCACCCACAAATTTTATAAGTGTCACATATGAAGCCGTGTAGTCCATATTATGGATTTTCTGAAAATTTCAGGTCTTAGTATTAATATATTATTATTATTATTGTTATTATTACCACACACACACACATATATATATACACCCATATATATATATATATACACACACACACACACACACACACACATATACACAAACACACACGCATTAATATTAAGACCTGAAATTCTCAAAATACATTGTTTTAAAGTTTAACACTCCTGGAACTTCATCACATGGGCATCCAGTTTGGTAGAGAAGCCTGAGATACACTTGCAGGAACACCTCAGCAAGCAAAAGTCCAAAAGTGGCAGGTTAAAAAAAAAAGGAAATGGAGATGAGCGCCAACCCCCAAAGAGTTGAACTTGACTAGACTTAACATCAAAGAGAAACCTTTACCCACCCACAAATTTTATAAGTGTCACATATGAAGCCGTGTAGTCCATAATTATGGACTTTTTGAAAATTTCAGGTCTTAATATTAATGCATATCTATATATATATATGCATTAATATTAAGACCTGAAATTCCCAATAGATATTGTTTTAAAGTTTTACGCTCCTGCAACTTCATCACATGGGCATCTAGTTTGGTAGAGAAGCCTGAGATACACTTGCAGGAACACCTCAGCAAGCAAGAGTCCAAAAGTGGCAGGTTTAAAAAAAAGGAAATGGAGATGAGCGCCAACCCCCAAAGAGTTGAACTTGACTAGACTTAACATCAAAGGAAAAACTTTACCCGCCCACAGATTTTGTAAGTGTCACATATGAAGCCATGTAGTCCATAATTATGGACTCTCTGCTTTTAATGTTGAGAATTTCTGGTCTTAACATTAATATAGTTTTAAATATTAATATATATTAATATAGTTTTAAAGTCTAACACTCCTGGAACTTCATCACATGGGCATCCAGTTTTGTAGAGAAGCCTAAGATACACTCGCAGGAACACCTCAGCAAGCAAGAGTCCAAAAGTGGCAGGTTTAAACAAAAGGAATATCCAGGGTGAGAGGGATCCTTAGGGAGATTTTGAGCTTTCTTATGGCACTGGGAGTGATGCAATTCTCTCTCTGTGACATTTTGAAGCCAGCAGAGATTGCTGGAAACCTTGTATTGGAACTTGTGAAGCAACAAGCTCTAATAAGGAAACTGAGAAGAGGGGGGAGATGGGCAGGAAAGGTGTATAAAAGGAAGTGGTGGTGGGAAAAAGTCAGTAGTGTATTTCTTTGCTGCAAAGATACATGCAATATAGCCATTTCAAAGCAAAACCGGCTTGTGAGTGGTCATTTAATATTGCTATATAGATCCTACAGTCTTACACCGCCACCATCTCCCTGTTCTCTGTAAACATTGTTTTTATAATGTTTAATTGCACCCACCTATATCATGTTTTTCCATTTTCCCTCTCTTCTCAACTCCCCGTTCCCCTTTTTTGCAGTGGGTCGGGGGCCGTTATTCCCTGTGGTCGGCCATTGGCCTCTCCATCGCCCTGCACATTGGTAGGTACCCAGAAGCCTTTAAGACCGGGCTGCGGCGCAGCTAGTTAGTATCCAGCTGCATTAAATCACCACTGACCAAGAGGTCATGAGTTCGAAGCCAGTCCGGGCCGGAGTGAGCTCCTGACCATTAATAGTCTAGCTTGCTGTTGACCTATGCAGCCCGAAAAACAGTTGCACCTGATGCTGACGACTCGGATGGTTTTAAATGGTGTATTTTAATATTGAGATAAATGTTTTTAATGTTTATGTCTGCGTATATGAATTCGTGTCCCAGCACTGAATGTTTGCCGTGTATATGCCGTGCTCTGCCCTGAGTCCCCTTCGGGGTGAGAAAGGCAGAATATTTATTTTATTTATCGTGTCATCCACAACCAGAACATTGTATTACATTTCTAACAGAACAAAACAAACAAACAGATTTAAAAAAACCCAATAAAACCCACAAATTTTGCAAACCTGGCAGCTGATTAAATGTCCTTTGACCAGTATCTGGCCCCTTGGAGTGCCTCTGGTGTTGCCGCAAGAAGGTCCTCCCTTGTGCACGTGGCAGGGCTCAGGTTGCATTGCAGCAGGTGGTCAGTGGTTGGCTCTTCTCCCCACTCGCATGTCGAGGATTCCACTTTGTGGCCCCATTTCTTGAGGTTGGCTCTGCATCTCGTGGTGCCAGAGCGCAGTCTGTTCAGTGCCTTCCAAGTTGCCCAGTCTTCTGTGTGCCCAGGGGGGAGTCTCTCATCTGGTATCAGCCATTGGTTGAGGTTCTGGGTTTGAGCCTGCCACTTTTGAACTCTCGCTTGCTGAGGTGTTCCAGCGAGTGTCTCTGTAGATCTTAGAAAACTATTTCTAGATTTAAGTCGTTGACGTGCTGGCTGATACCCAAACAGGGGATGAGCTGGAGATGTCTCTGCCTTGGTCCTTTCACTATTGGCTGCTCCTTCCCGGTGGAGGTCAGGTGGTGCAATACCAGCTAAGCAGTGTAATTCCTCCAGTGGTGTAGGGCACAGACACCCCGTGATAATGCGGCATGTCTCATCTCTGGCATCTGGAGGCTGTGCTCGACTCTGGCCACAGGGGGTGCTGTTGCTCCATCTTCCATTCCGAAGAGCTTTGTTGTCTTTAGACGCTCTCCTGATCAAATTGCCGGCATGTCTGCATGAGTTCCTTTTATTACCTCCCTGCCAAAGTGGTACCTATTTATCTACTCACATTGCTGTTTTTGAACTGCTAGGTGGGCAAAAGCTGGGCTGACCGTAGGGAGCTCACCCCAACTTGGGCTTGAACTGTCGACCCGCTGTGCTAATTTTATTTATTTCTTTATTTATAGTATTTATATTCCGCCCTTTTCACCCCGCATGGGACTCAGGCGGATTACAGTGTACACATATATGGCAAACATTCAATGCCAATTTTGACATACAACATATACAGACATAGACAGAGGCTATTTAACTTTTTCTGGCCGCCAGGGGAGCTGTTGCTTTCATCGTCCATCTGCAACACTGATGAAGTACTTCCGCATTCCCCGCATGCTTTTTGCTGGAGTGCTTGCTGGAGTCTTTTTTATTATGAGCCCGGGAAGGGAAGGGAGAAGGGAAAGGGAAAGAGAAAGGGAGGTTGGAAGAAGAACGGTTGGAAGAAGAGCTGGTAGGGAAAGCGGAGAATTGGCACGGCAGCCATTGCGCTATGTACAGGGCAGCACATGGCTCAGAGGCTCATTATGAGCCCGGGAAGGGAAGGGAGAAGGGAAAGGGAAAGAGAAAGGGAGGTTGGAAGAAGAACGGTTGGAAGAAGAGCTGGTAGGGAAAGCGGAGAATTGGCACGGCAGCCATTGCGCTATGTACAGGGCAGCACATGGCTCAGAGGCTCATTATGAGCCCGGGAAGGGAAGGGAGAAGGGAAAGGGAAAGAGAAAGGGAGGTTGGAAGAAGAACGGTTGGAAGAAGAGCTGGTAGGGAAAGCGGAGAATTGGCACGGCAGCCATTGCGCTATGTACAGGGCAGCACATGGCTCAGAGGCTCATTATGAGCCCGGGAAGGGAAGGGAGAAGGGAAAGGGAAAGAGAAAGGGAGGTTGGAAGAAGAACGGTTGGAAGAAGAGCTGGTAGGGAAAGCGGAGAATTGGCACGGCAGCCATTGCGCTATGTACAGGGCAGCACATGGCTCAGAGGCTCATTATGAGCCCGGGAAGGGAAGGGAGAAGGGAAAGGGAAAGAGAAAGGGAGGTTGGAAGAAGAACGGTTGGAAGAAGAGCTGGTAGGGAAAGCGGAGAATTGGCACGGCAGCCATTGCGCTATGTACAGGGCAGCACATGGCTCAGAGGCTCATTATGAGCCCGGGAAGGGAAGGGAGAAGGGAAAGGGAAAGAGAAAGGGAGGTTGGAAGAAGAACGGTTGGAAGAAGAGCTGGTAGGGAAAGCGGAGAATTGGCACGGCAGCCATTGCGCTATGTATAGGGCAGCACATGGCTCAGAGGCTCATTGTGAGCCCGGGAAGGGAGAAGGGAAAGGGAGGTTGGAAGAAGAGCGGTTGGAAGAAGAGCTGGGTAAGGCAAATGGAGAAGGGCTGAGAAGGACTCTTTGCCTTCCTGCCTGGTTACCTGCCTTGCAGCCGCTTGTGTGTTGTTTGCTGTTGTAGTTTGGGACGGATGGGCGACACGTGGGTGCCGTTTGTTTCCTTAGTTTGCCTTGCGTTGCCAAACAGTCAAAATATTATCCTTCCCAAAGTTGTGAAATCAACTTCCAAAAGCCAAAAAGGCCTCTGTGTGCTGATTGTGTCCTTAGTTGCTTTGCGTTGCCACTGAGGAGACACTACAAATCCCATACTTTCAAGTCTTGCGCATTGAGTAATTGTGTCCATGAATCGGAAATTTCGAAAAGTTCTAAAAGTTCTGATTTTTTTCCTGAAAATTCAGAATTCAATTCCGAATCGAACCACCAGCTGGAAATAGGTGTTTGGTGCATGTTCTGGAGGTGTATCTCTCACTCAGTGTTCTCTCTTCTTACGTTTGTGTGCAGGTTTTGACAACTTTGAGAAATTGCTTGCTGGAGCCCACTGGATGGTGAGTCCCTGGACATGTTGATCCTTCTTGCAGAATCTCTTTCTCGGGGATGCTGGTCAGGTGGGCCTTCAACTCATGTCCAGATTTGATCCGGATCCATCGTTGTTTGGGTTCACAGTGCTCTCTGGATGTGGGTGAACCACAACTGCTATCAATCAAGGTCAATTCTCCCCAAAGACCTCGAGTATTTTTCGTTGGTGTATTTTTCTGTGTGCCAAGTGTGACCCTTGTCAGTGGGGGCCACAATCCTCTGATTTGATGCAGGGTGAACTACAACTTCCATCATGTGGAGTCTGTTCCTCAGACTCTCCCAGTATGTTTAGTTATTATTATTATTATTATTATTATTATTATTATTATTATTATTTCAAACACAACAAGATGAGTCCACAGCAGACACTGCTGGCTGTGGTGTTGGATCACACGTTGGACCCTTCCCAAGTGTCTATTATTATTATTATTATTATTATTATTATTATTATTATTATTTCAAACACAACAAGATGAGTCCACAGCAGACAAGATCACTCTGCTGGCTGTTGTATTGCACAGGTTGGACACTTCCCAGGAGCCTAGGACTGTGTGATGTATTTTCAAATTATTATTATTATTATTAATAATAATAATAATAATAATGATAATATTTGAAACACAACAAGATGAGTCCACAGCAGACACTCTGCTGGCTGTTGTATTGGATCACACGTCAGACACTTCCCAAGTGTTATTATTATTATTATTATTATTTGAAACACCACAAGATGAGTCCACAGCAGACACTCTGCTGGCTGTTGTATTGGATCACACGTCGGACCCTTCCCAAGTGTCTAGGACTGTGTGATGTATTTATTATTATTATTATTATTATTATTATTATTATTAATAATAATAATAATAATGATAATATTAGAAACACAACAAGATGAGTCCACAGCAGACACTCTGCTGGCTGTTGTATTGGATCACACGTCAGACACTTCCCAAGTGTCTATTATTATTATTATTATTATTATTATTATTATTATTATTATTTGAAACACACAAGATGAGTCCACAGCAGACACTCTGCTGGCTGTTGTATTGGATCACACGTCAGTCACTTCCCCAGTGTCTAGGACTGTGTGATGTATTTTTGAATTATTATTATTATTACTATTATTAGAAACACAACAAGATGAGTCCACAGCAGACGCTCTGCTGGCTGTTGTATTGGATCACATGTCGGACACTTCCCAAGTGTCTAGGACTGTGTGATGTATTTTGGAATTATTATTATTATTATTAATAATAATAATATTTGAAACACAAGAAGATGAGTCCACAGCAGACACTCTGCTGGCTATTGTATTGGATCACACGTCGGACACTTCCCAAGTGTCTAGGACTGTGTGATGTATCAGGGAATAATCCGTGCAGATCCCAGTAAGGTGGCCTTTTGCAGATGGCAGGTGGTAATTTTGTTAGCGCTGATTGTGTTTAAGTGCAGGCCAAGGTCTTTAGGCGCTGCACCCAGGTTTGAATCCCTGCTCAGCTCAAGACAAAGGAGAGAGGCGGAATAATAATAATAATAATAATAATAATAATAATAATAATAATAATAATAATAATAATACTTTCAAACCACGAACAGAACAATTTTCAAAGTTTCCCCCACCTTTTTTTTTTGCTTCAAAGGACAACCACTTCCGCAAGACTCCGCTGGAGAAGAACGTCCCTGTGGTGCTGGCCATGCTGGGCGTGTGGTACATCAACTGCTATGGGACCGAGACCCATGCGCTCCTGCCCTACGACCAATACATGCACCGCTTCGCAGCTTACTTCCAGCAGGTACGTTGTTGACATCGGGCCGGGCGCCTTGCTTTTGTTGTTGTTATTGTTGTTAGCATTGGCATTAGCATTAGCATTTCTTCTTTTAGATACTTGCAAAAGTAGAGAACACAGTGCAAATAATAATAATAATAATAATAATAATAATAATAATAATAATACTGATTATTATTCACATGTCTTCCTTTAGGAATAATAATGCTTCTTATTGTTGTTGTTGTTGTTAGCATTGGCATTAGCATTAGCATTTCTTCTTCTAGATACTTGCAAAAGTAGAGAACACAATGCAAATAATAATAATAATAATTATCATTAGCATTTCTTCTTTTAGATACTTGCAAAAGTAGAGAACACAGTGCAAATAATAATAATAATAATAATAATAATAATTGCAAATAATTATTATTATTAGCATTAGGTTTAGCATTTCCTCTTTTAGATACTTGCAAAAGTAGAGAAACACAGTGCAAATAATAATAATAATAATTATTATTATTATTCACATGTCTTCCTTTAGGAATAATAATGCTTCTTATTGTTGTTGTTGTTAGCATTAGCATTAGCATTTCTTCTTTTAGATACTTGCAAAAGTAGAGAACACAGTGCAAATAATAATAATAATAATAATAATAATAATAATAATAATACTGATTATTATTCACATGTCTTCCTTTAGGAATAATAATGCTTCTTATTGTTGTTGTTGTTAGCATTAGCATTAGCATTAGCATTTCTTCTTTTAGATACTTGCAAAAGTAGAGAACACAGTGCAAATAATAATAATAATAATAATAATAATAATAATAATAATAATAATACTGATTATTATTCACATGTCTTCCTTTAGGAATAATAATGCTTCTTATTGTTGTTGTTGTTAGCATTAGCATTAGCATTTCTTCTTTTAGATACTTGCAAAAGTAGAGAACACAGTGCAAATAATAATAATAATAATAATAATAATAATACTGATTATTATTCACATGTCTTCCTTTAGGAATAATAATGCTTCTTATTGTTGTTGTTGTTAGCATTAGCATTAGCATTTCTTCTTTTAGATACTTGCAAAAGTAGAGAACACAGTGCAAATAATAATAATAATAATAATAATACTGATTATTATTCACATGTCTTCCTTTAGGAATAATAATGCTTCTTATTGTTGTTGTTGTTAGCATTAGCATTAGCATTAGCATTTCTTCTTTTAGATACTTGCAAAAGTAGAGAACACAGTGCAAATAATAATAATAATAATAATAATAATAATAATAATAATAATAATACTGATTATTATTCACATGTCTTCCTTTAGGAATAATAATGCTTCTTATTGTTGTTGTTGTTAGCATTAGCATTAGCATTAGCATTTCTTCTTTTAGATACTTGCAAA